AAATTTAGCTTGTCGGTCTCTTGACTTGCTTTTAATTTAGTCATTGTTTATATTTTTCATTCATTTGGGCATGATATATAGTGCAGTATTAATAGAACTCCAACTTCGGATTCTGATTATGTATTAGTCTAGTTATGCGGTTAGCTTGATCTTCTTGGGAGGCCAAGCAAAATTAAATTTGTTGTCAATGTGTTGACAAGTTTTTAATTTATTCATTGATTAGCTAGGTAAAATCTGTTTGGATATGATGTAGTGTAGTGTGGTAAAACATCAGTTATCCGGATTGTGGATGATCAGGAACTCCAGTTATCCAGATCGCTTGGTCTTCTATGTAAGCCAAGCAAAACTAAGTTTGTTAATCTGCTGATGAGTTTTTAACTTATTCCTTGATCTAGATAATATTAAAAGATAATGAATAGTGTACGGTATGTATATTTTTAAGGAGCTATTAAGTTGTATCAATTTAGATGAATGTTAATAATTTTCAGATTAACCTACCGATTTTGGCAAATATGTAGACTATATAGGTATATATGAATAATTTTTAGATCTACGGCAAATATGCAAAATACGTAAGTATTATTAATGAAAAGCAGCTAACTATTTTGTACAGGCTTACTGAGGGCGTGAACCACTGCTTAGCTATAATAGCCTAAAATAGAGATGGTTGCTTTTTGTCAATTCCTTCGGGTTTGAAAAATTTTCCTTTTCCAGTATATTGTGTCACTGCAGTCAGTTACTTGTTAACCTTGTACGTTGCGTGTTTCTTTGTACGTGATTTTTACTTCCTTGTACGAAGTAAAGGAAGTACCGTAATCGCGAAAAATTTCGCGTATTGTATTTCAACGAAAATATTCATTTTGATTGCTTTCGATTTCATTTGAACGATGTTTTTGCGTTACATCTGTATATGCTGACAGAATACAGGACTCTTTTTCCCAAAACGGGATTGTGAAATGGATTTAAAACAGATATTTTTCCGTGACGTCTGTATGTACCTTTGTATGTATCTCGCGTAGCTCAAAAATGAGTAGCCTCAGAACGTTGAAATTTTGGGGCTTCCCCTTTGGTTTGGTGTCTCGTTTTAATTAATTTAAATTCTATTTTTAATTGTAAAAGTTGTTTTTTAACGGTTTTTAAATCTATTTATTGTTTTACGTTTTTCTGTATTTTACAATATTTAATGAAGATGTTCTGACTTTTTACGTATTTTTTCCTTGCCGCGAAGTGAGAACTGAATTGATTGAATGAAAAAGATATCTCTAATGAAATTCGAAGAAATAAATTTAAATGAAATGCATAAAAAATGTGCATAATTTAATAGGCCGTACAAGGAAGTCATATGGTGTCCAAATGAGATTTTTATTTCCTTGTACGAAGTAAAGGAAGTATTGTAATCGCGAAAAATTTCGGGTATCATATTTCAACGGAAATATCCATTTCAGCCGTTCTGGAAACCATTTCAACGATGTTTTCGCGTAACATATGTTAGTACGCTCAGAATAAAAAACTGCTTTTGCCAGAAAGGATTGTAAATTAGATTTAAAATGGATTGAGAACAGATTTCTTTTTACCACGGGAGTCAAAGAAGACGGTCAACAGGACTTTGCTGTGGACCTACCGTGTTATTTTTTTTTTTTTGTCTCGTGGATGACGGATGTTGCTACTATGATGACTGCGTCTTGGTTTTTGGGTGGTACACGTACACCCATGTTTCATCGTTTGTGACCACGTTGTTCAGAAATTTTGGGTCATTGTTGGCATTGTCCAGCATGTTCTGTGCGATATCCAGACGCCATTGCATCTGCTGGATTGTTAGGAGCCTCGGTATAAGTTTCATGCTCAAATCCTTGTGCAACATTAAATGTACTGAATCGATGCTTACTTTTTTCTCGTTCATAATTTCATGCACTGTGATACGATGATCCTGCAAGACTAGAGTTCGCACTTGTTCAGCGCCATTGTCATTCCTGTTTGTTGAGGGCCTACTAGAACGTGATTCACTGTCCACCGATGTGCGGTCGTCTTTGAAGCGTTGTACTACTCCTTAATGAGAGAGGTGCTCATGGCGTCGTCTGCAAAAGCCTGCTGAATCTTTGGAATGGTGTCTGCTTGGGTATCGCCAAGCTTTTGGCAAAATTTGATGCAATATCGCTGCCAAAATGTTTTGGTCATTTTCCAACCGTTTCACAACACTGAAATCTGACGAAACTGTCACTACACGTATTCACTCGTTGGCCGACTTCGAGCAACTAACGCATTCCATGGACGGGGAAAAATTCACGAATGCGCAGTGTAAGATGTAGTGTCCTTCTACATCTTACACTGAAGTAAATCTCCGCGCTTCATTGGTTTACTCGAGAAAAAATAAACAATTAGGTTTGATACTTTTTGAACAGCGTATAAGATGTAAAAATATGAAGAGAATTATCAACAAGTTAACGAATTAAATAAGATCAAACTACTAGGTGAATTGGCAATAGTCCTTTAAATTCTTGATTAAAAAACCCCTAAAATGCATCTGCACCAACGTCACTCCTTCCCAGCAGCAACCGCAATGCGAAAACTCCTCAGCCGCTCTGCAGGATTAAAATACAGTAGTCAAACTTATAAAACTCCAGCCACGCTATATGCACTCTATTTCTATGTTCATGCTTGATTAACCCGTGTCTCTGCGCTTACCTGTATTTTCAATTCTTTTAAGATGCTATTGCTTATATAAAATTGTGGGGCGCGTTTAATCAGCAAGAAAAACTTTGTTTCTAAAATATTATTCCGGTTCAGAAATAAAACTAGATATTAATCTTCGTGATGGCTACTGTTCGTTGCAGCTGCGTCGTTATGTATTGTAATGCCGTCACCGTTCCACTCACGATTGTAAATTAATTTTAATCTTCTCTCATCGTACCATCTAAATTATATATATATATATATATATATATTAGCAGCTAAAAGCTACGACTTATATAGGAGTTTTTGGATTGTTGGGGAGCATAAACAAGTTGTTCTTTTAAGCAGTATAAAACTGATATGTGTTTAAAAGAATAAATTTTGATTTTAGCGCATACCAGATTTTCATTCAGTATTTGTATTGTATGCACAATTTTCACAGTACCTGAAAAGCGAAATTAGAGATTTGTAATCTCAATCAAAGATGTCATTTAAAAGAATAAATGACTTTTTCTTCTTCGATTTACGATGGTAACTTAAAATTTGCTACTTAATTTTGGAGCACCCTATCGGCTCCAAATTAAACGGCAAACACTGTTTTTCTGTTCCTTGCTGATTGAGTAGTTGATTGAATGGCTTCAGTACGTTAAAAATTAATCTCTATAGCCAAAACTAACTACGTAATCTTTGTTGAAATAAAATATTTCGGGCATTTGTATTAAGGACGTATTTGGCGTATTGGAAGAAAGGGAGACAAATTATTTGGACTTCTCAAATATCCGAGAGATTATGGTCCTAGTTATTTCGGATGTGTGGAGTTCTACTATAGTTATTTTTTAGTGGAAACCAAACTTTCTTTCAAAAAAAGTCTCTGTAAGTTGTCAATTGAGCGGGAAGTGATTGTAGTTTCGCGTGTCCATTTTTCTTATTGTTTTTAAGTAGCTGATCTGCTTTCGAATTTTTTTGGTTTTTCTTTGTTACTGAAAAGTTTGCTTATGCCACATTGACAGGAAATATTTTTTGAAAAGGCGTGCGATATTTTTTCTTTTGTAAGCACACAAAAGCTATTTTAGTGCAGTAGTGGCTTTACTTCTTTCGTTATTTTAACTCTGCCTCTAAATTAGAAACTGAAAGAGCCGTATGATGTAGCAAACTAGTATACAATGGATGATCCACTCCCGATTTACTTCCACGGTGTAGGGGCAATGTCTATGGAATATACTCTTTTTAATTTACCTTTATTTTCAAGCAGTTTAATCTGGAGAACGAGTAATTATGTAAATTAAATCGGTATTTAAAACAAAAAGAACATACCATGAATAACGGAAGAATGAAGATTATTATAAATGAAGACATTTTAATTGTAGATGGTGTATTTATGAAAGAAAAATATTTACGAAAGTAGTTGAACAGTGTCATTGAGTTCAAATATATATATATATATATAATTTATTTACTAAATATTGATATATATATATATATATATATATATATAATATATAAATCAAGAAGACGCATAAAAATGTCTGTTTCAACTTTTCTTCTTTTGGCAGAGTTGATTTGACTGGCGTAGTCTGCTATCACTACTATTACTAATAATTTTTCCTTCGTTCTGCAATAAGCACATTTAACTATTTTTTCTTGACAGTTCCGATTAATCGGGAATTGACTGTACTTTGATTTTTGCTTTTAAGCTAAGATTCTTCATCATCCCATCTATAGCAAATTTCAATGAACAGAACTTTTTATTTATTTATTCATGGAAAGATGATATTTCACGATGCAAATTAACCATTTTTAAGGTAGAACGTGGCATTAACTTTTCGCCGGGTCATATGAATAGATTACTAAATATTTTGAATGACATTGCTGATTGTATCATCGGAAAAAAATCCGAGGTAAAAGTTCAAGAGCGTCATCGACAGTTCTTTATCGAAGTTTCAGAAATCTTCCAATATCGTTACTGTCTTTTCTGAGCTTGCAACTCTGTTAAAAGAAAGGGAAAATGATCATGAAGTCCAAAGTTCAAATTCTAATAACGTCATCGGGTTTCAATCTTCCTCCTTTTGTACCTGAGTTGAAGGAAAGGAGGCAAGGCATTCTGTATTTCCTTTGTAAATTTTGTATATGTAATAAGAGTAATTTTGAAATGTATTGTTCTGAGAGTTAAACTTACTTAAAAAGAAATCTTAAAAAAAATTTTTTTTCTCTTTGTTTTTCTTAACTTTCATTTCTCCTCGTTCCATTTATTTTACTTGCATATTTCAGATTGTCATAATTAAAATATCAATTTTTATTTCAGAAAATAATTTTTTTTTTCTTTTTTATAGTGAAGAAAATGGAACTCATCTTTTTAATATCTCGAAGCTTTTGCATGTTTAATTGAAATTCTCAAAGGCCATCCATTTGAAATATTATAATTAATTTTTTGAAAGTTGGTAAGTAAATTATTTTAATTCTTATCTTTATTCAGTGTATATATATATCAACAAAATTTTAAACTATTTGCAAATTTTCTGTAAATATTTTAAACAATTAATATACATTTTGTGTTATATGTTTTAAATTTTATTATTTAGACATCATGGCAGAAGAAAAGCTTTCTCCAGTGGCCAAATTTTATGGAGATAGAAGCATTCTTATTACAGGTGCTACAGGGTTTATGGGAAAGGTAAATGATTTATTTAAATTTCATTAAGTAGCAGGGTATAATGTTCATGAGTTTTTCAGCATCAGTATTGAACATCGGACTCAATATTATGTAATTAATCGAACTAATTGTAGAATGATCTTTATTCACACATACATTCCTTTTAGTATCCAATAATTGTAATCATTAATAATATTTTTAACAATATTATGCTACAGTGATGTGATATGCCTTTTATGAGAGATAAAGTGCTTTTGAATTTAGATTCCATATTTAGTTTGGGTGATTTTAATTGCAATGTGTCTTTGCAGAGATAATTAAAATATGTTTATCTGAAAAGGTGTTGTGACTGTTAGACATTTCAGGCTAGGAGCATAATAATTCAACTATGCCTCCTCGTAAGAATGTTACAATGTTCCTCCTGAGAAACTAGAGTTAGGAAAAAAGGGTGATAGACCCTTCTTTCCTCATAACTCCAAGTTATTTTTTTTAATAAAAAACTTGGAGTACAAGGTGAAGTACAAGGTGGTGGTGGAGGGTGGACTGACAGGGTTTTTTTTTTTTTTTAATAAAAACTGAACTAAATGGGAAGTCATAGGCCAAGGCATACTCCATACCTGACCTATGAGTATTTATATGTCTTTGGCCAATCATTTGTCAATTTGCTTTAGTTATTATTTGGCTAAATATGGAGATATGAAGTAATAACATTATCTTCATGAATTTTTGACAGGCTGTGAAAATGTAGATAGTTAATATAGGGTAATTAATAAAGGTTTTATAGTTTTTTTTTTTTTTTTTTTTTTTTTTGCGTTTATTTTGCCTAAAGAAGTAAAGAAACTTTTTATTTTACATTTGATTGATGTAAAGCAAGGATGTCAAACTCGCGGCCCACAACAAATATTTTTGCGGCACGGCCAATATATCGGCAAATAATAATATATAATAATAAAATAACATATCGACGAAGAAAAAAATTAAATGTTTACTGCTAAGTAATTAACGATAATTTATTCAGTGTTGTTAGATTACTCACAGCGAGCTGACACACACACTACTTAAATTACAAATGCGTGTGAGTAGCTTGCGTTCAGCTACCTTTGGCTTTTGGGGGACACATGCACTCAGAACTTGTACGCATCCCCCCATAGCCGAATGTGGCCGAACTCATGGTCTCAGTTTTCCAATCATAGTTTTGTACGATATATTGGTGCGTGCACTTTGCTTTATTATTAATTATTACTTAATTCATATTGTTACGGATTTCATAGTTATTTATTTATTTAGTTTTTTTTATTTAGAATTGTAATTAGATTTGCTTCATGTTGCCTTAGCAACGTAGACGATTTTTTAAAAGACAGCTGTGTTGGAAGAATCAAAATAGAACAGCGCGTGCATTTAATACCTAATAAATAAATATCTCGTAATTGCTGTTGCTGTCCACAAAAATCCAGATATTTATAGATGTTTCCAGTATATTCGAGAAATTAATTATAAAGCTTATAAAAGCCGAGAACAAACAACTCATCTCAGTAGTAGCTGTAGTTCTAGCGAACTGTTTGTTTACTTAATGCTGTGATTGATTTGTAGCAATTTCGCTGTGAGATAGAATTAGTTTCTCTGTTTTGAATTGATTTTTGCTAAACGTTTGACATTTTGTGATATTGTTAGAATATTTTTGAAGAAATATTTCAGCATTTTGATTTATCTCTTGTGGAAAGAAATTTTTGTTAACTTTTTAACGTTAACCATGTTTATTCCAGCCCTTTGTATTCAGTATGTCTATATCAAAACCAAGTGGTAGTTAAATTAACGAAAAATCGCTGACGAACATAGAATATTCCAAGTAAAATGGGAATTAGAATATTTTTGCTGTGAAATAAAAGATAAAATAATCTGCTTGATATGTAATAATACTATTAATGTACCAAAGTTATGTAATATTAAACATCATTACGAACAACGCAAATCGAAATATAACAATTACGAAGGATTAAAGAGAGAAGAAAAGTTGAAAGAGCTCAAGTTAGGAGTGAAAAAGCAACAGTCCATGTTTAGTAAAGTATTGCAAGAAAGTGAAGCGGCGATACATGCAAGCTACATCTTGTCAGAGTTGATAGCTAAACATTCGAAGCCTTTTATGACGGTGATTTCATCAAGGAATGCCTAATGAAAGCTGGAGAAAATTGTTTGTCCTGGAAATGTGAAGGCTTTTTCAATCAATTTCATTGTCTCGAAATACAGTTGCGGAAAGAGTTACTGATTAGCCGCGAATTTAAGTGATCAGATCAAAGCAAAATCATCTAGTTTCGAAATTTCTCCATTGCCTGTGATGAGAGCACGGACATTAGTGGCCAAAGCTCAATTAGCAAGTGTTTCTTCGTTCTGTGACAAGAATTTTAACATTTTTGAGGAATTAGTGGAACTAATACCGATGCCTGGTACTACCACAGGAGAAGTTATTTACTTGTGTTTTTGGACTTCTGCAGAAATACAATCTACCTTTTGGCCAACATTAAATTCTGTAGCTACAGGATGGCGCTCATCAATGACCGGGAGAAACAAGGGCTTCGTAGCATTACTAAGAAAAAAACTTGGTGAAAATTCACGGTTCAAAACATTCATCATATGCATGTATTATACATCAAGAAGTTCTATGCACAAAAGTAATAAATATGGAGAATGTTTTGTCATATATAAAAAAATTTATAAATTTTATAAGATCTCGAGGTTTAAATCAGCATCAATTCACTGCTTTCTTAAAGTGAGTTAGATAGTGAATATTCGGGTTTGTCCTACTATACCGATGGTATGTTGGTTATCTTGCTCCAAGATTCTCACAACAATTCCAGGATTTGAAAGAAGAAATATACCAGTTTTTAAAAACGAAAAATCAAGACGTAAGTTTGTTTTACGATCCAATATCGGATACAAGATTTATCTTTCTTGGTTGATATAACAAAACACTTAACGATTTAAATTTATCGTTACAAGGAGAAGATCATATCATTACGAACATGTTTGACATAAATTAAAGCATTCAAATGTCAACTAGTTCTTTGGGAAAAAGAACTTAAAAATGAAGATTTGACGCACTTCCCGACGTGCAGCATGAACAAATCAAGTTTTAGATAATACTTGTTCATATCAAAAAATACGCAGAAAACCTGCAAATTTAACAACTGAATTTTGAAACGAGGTTTAATGATTTAGTTCCCTCGAAGACAAATTTTTTTTGTTTTCTTCAATTTTCTCAATAAGTATTGACTCAGTACCCAGCCATATGCAAATGGAGGTGATCAAGATTCAATGCAACTCAAATTTGAAAGCAAAATTCATTGAAGTGGGCATGCCTGAATTTTACAAATATTTACCAGCCAGGTTTGAAAATACTCGAAAATTCGCTTATGAAATTATTTCCATGTTTGGTAGCACTTATCGATGCGAGCAGTTATTTTCAGTCATGAAAGGTAATAAGTCTTCTCATAGAAACCGTATTAATGATGCTTACCTTGGGTCAGCGTTGAAAGTTATCACTGCAAACAAAATTTCTCCCGAAATAGGAAAGATACTAGCAGAGAAGAGATGTCAAGTATCAGGACGTAAACATTAAATTTTTCTTTTTCTTTTCTATATAAATATATATATATGTTATTATTGTATTATTCGAAATAAATTACGTTTCTATGATTATTGATTTTTTTTTTTTTTTTTTTTTTTTGCGGCCCGCTAAAGTTAAACCTTGTTTGTTTGGCCCAAGTGTACCTATGAGTTTGACATCCCTGATGTAAAGGGTCTTTAACATCTGAGCAAAGGTTTGGGCTCAAATGCAACAGAACTAGTTTATACTTTCTTTTTAAAGCAGCCACTGCTTAAACCTTTGGTGACATCTGATATTTGCTCCATATAGACTAGGCAGTTTCTACTTTGGCAGTCTTGGTGACTAAGCAGAGTGATCACTTTTACTAAAAAGCACCAACTGTATGGTAACCGGACCGGTAGGCCCGCAGAATAATGCTCACAGGAAAAGAGCCCACACAGAAATATGCCCACATAGAAAATAGCTCACATAAAAAAATGCTCACATGGAAAAAAGCTCACATAGATATATGGAAATAAGCTCACTGGTAAATAAAATACGTAGAAATAGCCTTACATTAATCAAGCAATAATTAATTGATTTTGAACATCGTACACCTACTTGAATTTTTCAAAGAAAAATTATTTAAATTACCAAAACAGCTATGGTATATATAAAATTTTAATTTGCTTTTTTACTTTTTTACTTTTATACGTATTTGTTAAGAATTTAAATTTGTTTAATTTAAATTTCATTCCTTGCAGCAATGGCACAAAGAATATTTAATTAAATATGTATTTAATTTTTTTAATTAAACTCAATTTATTCTTATGGTATATATAACTTATGTGTAGATCCAGTTGCTACATAAGATTAACAAATGGACCGTTTTGGATTATGAAAATGAGAGGAGAAAGGAAGAAAAATGAAGCAGAATATTCAGGGAAATATTATTACAATTTTAATTGTAAAAAAATAATAGTAAATATGTTACACATTTTAAAATTTAAACATTTATAAGCATAAGCAAATACAAATTGTTTTATTTAAATTACGTAAAATACCTTATTAATATAAATCATAAATATACATTTCAAAAAGTTATAAATATGTAAAATTACTGAATATTAGCTAATATATGTAAATATCTAATTTTATCATTGATTTCATCTTCGTTTCTTACATGATTCACGATTACCAAATGTAAGTTTTCATTTTTTTTTTAAACTTCAGCACACCCTGTATTTACAATAGCTAATAATAAACCTTGACAGGCTAAATTTTTTTTTCAGTTAGTCAAATAAAGGCTATATACTGGGATGGCTACAATTAAATAATGAATTTAGTACCTTATGAAAGCTTTTGTAATGATTTGTGGTTTTAGGAGATTTTTCGAAGGCTGCATCATAATGATTCCCCACTTTGATTGGGAACTGTGGTCTTCTAAAACGTTTCTGGCTCCAAACATAAATAACTATGTTCAAACATCAATCCTGTAGATACACTTCAAAAGCATGCAAAAGTAGAGGAAAAAAATTAACTATTGGCAGTTACAAGAATAAAAATATTTTACAGGAGCAATGATATAAAATATTATAGTACATGCAAAATTTTACTATAGTTTTCATTCTTTTATATACCACCCCTGAAAAGGTTAATGTGAGCATTTGTCCAATAATTTATCTTTTAAAAATTAAGTAGGTGTACTATGTTCAGATCGATTAATTATTGATTGATTAATGTAAGGATATTTCTACATATTTTATCAGTGAGCTTATTTCCATGTGAACATATATCTATGTGAGCTTTTTTTCAATGTGGGCATATTTCTGTGTAGGCTTTTTTCCTATGAGCATCATTCTTGCGGGCTTTTTTCCTGTTGGCTTTTTTCTTAGAACCCAACCGTATATATACTAAAAAATGAGTATTAAAATCTGAATGTTTGGATTTAAAGAAAATTATAAATAAATGTTTGGATTTTAAAGAAATTTTGATTTAGAAAGGTTATAATTCTGGTCTAAAACTGCAGCATTGCAATCTTAATGTTTTGTTAATATATGTAGATTATCTTATTTTAATATTTACTATATTTTATAGGTTCTTGTAGAGAAATTGCTCAGATCTTGTAGTTCAATTAAAACAATATACCTCCTTCTTAGACCTAAAGATGGCCAAGAACCTAAACAACGTTTAGATGAACTCTTGAAAGCTAAGGTAAGAATACTTGAAATTTGTTCTGACATTATTCATCTAACTTCAAAATACTCAGTAATTGTAAAGGATTCACAGGATTTTAAAACACTTGCATGTTGAAAACAATATTACATGCTGAATCAGTAATTGTAAAGGATTCACAGGATTTTAAAACACTTGCATGTTGAAAACAATATTACATGCTGAATAATAATAATAATAATAATAGCATTAAATAACCAGGTTTGCATCTCAGTTTTAAAATTTTCATTAGCTACCAAGTATTAGTATAAGTGATAGCTGCTTCTGATAGTGGTGTCTGTATAGTAAAAGGTTTTCTTTGTTTTAGAACATGAAAAGAGTTTATCCACTGTTATCATAGAGCATTTATTCCCAAGACAGTATAGAATATAGTTGCAATAGCAACAAAGCAATTTGCAATTGCATTGACAATTAAAAGCTCAGGTTGTTTGTGCAAAATCAAAAGTACTGGATGTCCAAGTGTTTGTACAGAAACAGTAAAAAGGCAAGGAAGAATTTCATGTGTATGCCACAGCAGTAAACACATAGTTCTAGTCAACTGCAGTAGCCATATATGTGGAAGATTTTGTGAACTCGTATGTGAATGAAATCATACTGTGTGCAGATACTGCAAAGTTTACGAGTGAACAATGTCATTCAACAATAAGAATTTTATGATTTTATGCAAACAGCAGTTGAGGAAGGTGGTTTTTTTAATTATGGATAAAACCCTATTTCATATAAATGGAAAGATGTTTCATCATAATGTCTGAATATGTGCTTTCAAAATTGTCATATGCAACACAAGCAAGATTCTTCCAAACTCAATGTTTTTGTGGCAGTTTCGAAAACAAAAGTATACAGGTCTTTTTTCTTAGTTGAGGAGATCATGATAGGTATTTCATTCCTGGATGTGTTACAGTTGAACTTGTTTCCATAGTTGAAAGAATATTCTAACAATTTCATATTTCAACAAGATGGGACTTCATCTCATTGGTGTGCTACAATGCATGGCTATCTCAACAAGGAACTTCCCCACATCTGAATTGGACAATACACTGAAAGTGATTTAATAGTGTTCGCATGAACTCTGTATCTCTCATGGTTTGTGATTTCTTTCTTTGGGCATATGTTAAAAACCCTGTTTACATTCTCACTCCTTCCCCCGTTGCTGGAAACTTGAGTTCTATAATCGCATTGCAATTACATTTATGGCCGAATAGAGTGATGCTAGGACAAGTAAAGATATAATTCAAATGCCATGTAGACATAGGTCTTGCACCTAGAGGAATTCACATTGAAAATTTATGATGATATGAAAAAAAAAAAAAAAAAAAATCTGATGTGTGTACCACATGACTTCCTTGTATGGAATATTAAATTATACCCATTTTTTCTTGCATTTCATTTGGATTGGATTAAATTTACTTTGTCGATAAACCACAATAAAATAAATGCACTTTTTAAAATTCACTGTATTTGTTTACCATAGCGACACTCTGGTCCTAGATTCAGTTAACAGCGTTATATTTCGTTCATTTTTTAACTCAGAATGCACATTTATATCATCTTAAGAATTATCTAATCGTTGGCACATGTTCTATTCAAATACTATAATAAATCTAAAATCATGTTTAAAAGAAATTAAGCAAAGAACAACAACAAAAAAGAAACAGTTTTTCACAGACGATTCAGTATTTCTCATTGAACTAATTCAGTTCTCACTTCGTGACAAGGCAAAAATACATTAAAACTCAACATGTCTGTATTGAAAATTATGAAGTAAATCTTAAACATTTATTTCCTCGAATAAATTCCAGAATGGATTAAGCATGATTTAATTTACAATAATAAAAGAATAATAATTACAATAATTTAAATAATAATTTACAATGATAAAATATTAATTTACAATAATAAAGAAGGCGTTATTTGGAAGCTTACTTTCTCTAGATTAGCAACAAATCTACTATTTTGCTGTTTCAAATGTAAACAAGCAATGGACGCCATGGAAAAAATTATTAGGATTTTTTTAATTTAGCGGCACTTAAACAACTTTTAAATTGTAGATAATTCTAAAAATATTGCATACAGAGTTACTAAAGGCATCAAAACCTTAACCAGAAGATAAGAACAACATAATTTAATCATTTTTAAAGCAAAAAATGCACAATTTACAAACATGTAAGAATAAAGAAACTGAGATCACTGAGAATGGATATATATATACATATATTTATATACTTTTGGTGAGGCCGATTGCAAACAAAATATGAGGTGCACATCTACATGTTATTGCAGGCACAAATGCCACGAAAAATTCTCTTTAGAATTTATTTTAAATTTGTTTTACAATTTTTTTTGGGAAAAAGAATCCTTTATCATGTACAAATGTCATGCAAATGTCATGTACAAATGTCATGCAAAAAAATCCTTAAATTGCATTCAGTAGCAGTGAAAATGGATATTTGCATTGAAATATGATGTCTGAAACTTTTCGCAATTACAATACTTCCTTTTTACTTTGTTCAAGGAAGTAAAAAACTATTTAATTATTATTATTTTCATGTATCATTGTTCAGTGTGTATTATTTTTTTAAAAACCCAGTTAATCATAATGACTTCATAATTTGATTTATTCAAAGAAAGAAGACATATTTTAAAATATAAAAGTATGTACTTATTTCAAAACTTTAATATTTCACTTAAAAATATTTTGCTGTTTAAAGCCTTTTTTATGTTTGATTATTTATTACATTTAGTTTTCTTAGAACTTTATTAGGCAAATTATATGTACTTTTATTTGATAAATAGCCATGTGAAATAATTTTTTTTTCAGAAATACCATTTAAGCAGTATTTTCCGTACATACAATTTCTGAGAGTTTGTCGTTGCATCTAAATCTAATGTCTATAATCATCTATATCACATTAATTGCCTTAAAATCCTAACTGAACTTTGATTTCTGGTAATAATTTGTCTTCTATTAGTTGTTTTCCTGCATAAGAATAATTCTACATCATAAAATCTAAAAGAAAACTTTGATGATTGTTAATCATTTGTCTTGTATTCGTTTTAGTCTACATTAGAATAATTGAGTTTGTTTTTAAGAATTGTTGAGTATTTCATTTATAGCATAAAAAGGATTACTCATTTAATTGAAAGCAAAGTGTAATGTATGTTAAATTTCTGGAAAATAAAATGTTATCTTTAACTTACGAAGTATGATTAATATTGAATAGAATAACACAAAGCAATAATTATTTTCAAGTATTAAAACTTACTTGAAATATAATATTATGATTTACAGTTTTAATAAATAATTAGAAAAAGCAAGAATATTTGTTATTCTATATTAAAATGATTTTAATAATTTTTCTTTAGTGGATGGTATACTCAATTTCAGATTGATTTTGAAATAACTGCCAATAGTAATTGTTAGACTTCTGCTGTGCAGTATCAGAATGCTGATGATACTGAAAAATGAATAAATGTACTTTCATTCGGATCTTTTTAATTTAAAACAATGATTGGTGCAGAAATTTTGGTGTATGATGATTTGCAGCAGGTTCAGTTGCTGTAAAAGATGAACAGATATCGTAACATTTTTATTGCTTCTTCAATGTTAGTATATTGTTAAAAGTTTTGATAGCTTGATGAGTTCTATTTTTGGTAAATATATTGATATTCATATAAATGTTTAGTTTGTGGTTTAGTTAATTTGAGATAATCTATATCTGGTTTATTTTTGCTTTGGCAAAATTAGAACATAGCAATTGTATGTTCTATGAATAGATTTTCTTGCATTTTGTGTATCGAATAGTTGTCAGAATCTTTTCTAATTTCAATTATACCTATTAAAAGTAATTTATTTATTGAATATTGTTAAACTGTGAGTCTTTCCCTTTGACCTAACCTATTTTTGTTTTCTAGATCCAAAATGAATAACTGACAATAATTATTATATAGAAATATTTAAAATTTTATTTATTGCTGTGAGCATATAAATTTAAGAAAGGAGATAAATATATAGAATAATGGGATAAGATTTTTCTTAAAAAAGAATGCATCAAAATTCCAAAATTTTTTTCTAGATATTTGAAAGAGTGAAAAATGAACAACCAAGTACAATTTCAAAATTAGTTGCCATTCATGGAGATTTAACGCTACCTGGTCTTGGAATTAGTCCGTCTGATGTAAATTTACTTGTTTCTAATGTCTCCATCGTCTTTCATTCTGCTGCTACAGTTAAATTTGATGAACCTCTAAAGTAAGTCTTTATATATCATCTTTCTTTTCATGCTAATGTTTTGTTATAATATTTTGTTTTTGTTCATGAGAAGTTACTTTTTGGTTAACAGAGCACCGTACATAGATGTTCACTAAAATCCAAGTCGGAATGAAACTCTAATGTTATATATGCGTTTCCTCGCTTATTCTCCCTCCCCTCATGTATTTTACCTTTAGCTTTTAGTGCTACGTTTTGAAAATTGGGGGGTGGGTGGGAAAAAATGCACAATTTTTCCCTTCCTCTGTCATACATATTTTTCCTTTCTGAAGGCTAGTTTATTAGTGTTCATCTCTTTTGTGAATGGGGGCGGAAATTGAACTCCACACTCATTAAAAGATCGATGCTACCTTTCAGGACAAGACGTTTATTCCTACTCACTAACATATACTATAATACAGAAAAACTTGCAAGATTAAACAGTGCCCTCTTATGGCGGGCAATGGATAATGTAACAATTAGTAAATTGTATACCTTTGATTAAATTATTTTATCAAAGATATATAATTTTACCTTTGTTATATATATACATATATATTTTCATTCTATTCAATTTGCTTAGCCTTGTCCACCCCTGATGTGTTCAATCTTTTGAAATACAAGTCTTTTGTTCACCCCCTTTTCTTTCATTCCTCCGATCTTCCAATTGGGAACTGCAATCAAGATTCATTCATGTGAAGTAGCCCTGGGGATTTACAATATAAATGAGCCATAAAAATCATGCTGTATGCAATATTCGTAGTTTTAACATCATTGCTATGATTTGATTCTGTATTTAGAGTTGAGAATTCATAGTTATAAGAAATTTCTTTTGACTCGTATGTATTACAATTGCAGTCCACAGATTTTCAGAAACATGAGGAAAGAAATTAATCACAAAATTTCAATTTAAAGTTCTAAAATTCTTGGAAATTAATGGTATCAAACCTATCAGTAGACACTTTGGTGTTCAACTTTCTTTGATTCGATATTAAAGAAAACAAATAGATGTACCGAGGAAGACAAATTCAGAGCCGAGAGTATTCCAGGACAGAAAACCTGAAAATTTCCAAAAATTCATAGTAAAGTGTTGAATTATGTGAAAGTGCAGAGAAACAATGGCATAGATGCGTCACATGAAATGAAACAAATGAAAGTGAAGGGCAAACAAAGAATGGATAGATTGTTTGTTAAGAACAAATGGACTAATTTAAGGACAACAATGCATGCACTACATCTGTCAGAGATTTGTGAAGAAAAAGTGTTAGAATTTCATAGATTCGAGACCCAGTAAAGAAAAGATTATGATTAGGGTGTTGGAAATATAGGAAACGTAGATCTTTTATTTTTTGACATGCTGAATAATATTTCAGTTAATCAAAAGGAGGCTGATCTGTTCTAGTAAAACCTGCAGGAGCTGAAAAGATGCATAGTAATGTTAGAAGTGTTTGCTGGTGGTAAAAAAATTGCTGCCTTTCACAGCTTTTGAATGTAAGATGATGTCGAAACAAAATCTTCATGGTATCATAGTTAGGTACATGAGAAAGGTTGGATGTTGTAACACTGAATTAAAGAGTAGCTCAAAATTAATTGGACCCATCATCTAGGCACCTCTCTACATCAGAAGTGATTATCAATCATGGACATTTTCCATAGGCATCTCATAGATGATCTAAAAAAACAAATGAACAAAAAAACACTTTTTTTTATTATTATTCTGGGAGGACTTGCATTACTTCTGCACTCATTAGGCATATCAGTGAGTAAACCATTCAAAGACTAAAGTTTAATAAGTGGATATCAGCAAGGTCGCACAATTTTGCTAGAACTGGAAAAATTGAGAAACCATCAATTTATGACTTTTTTTATTGTTAATTCATTAGTGGAAGTGGTAGATAATGACTGTTTAAAATATATAAATAACTTACCGTTAGAAAAATTGTAAACCTTTTCTCTGCCCCATCCTTTTTCTTTCCTCTTTCTTTTTCTCCCTTTTTTCCCACTTTCTTTATGGTTTTATGATACATATATATCATGAGATAGTTATGTTTTATTTTAAATATTGCCAAAAAATTAAAGTAAAAAGTATGCTTATAATTATGAAGAACTGCTAGTAATTTTTGTAAAGGAATTTATACTTGCACCAGGAAGTTAAATTGTTATACAGGGTGTTCCAAAATGATATTTCCAACTTTGATCAGAAGTCAGGAGTTTATGAGTCAGAAATAGGGATAGATAGAAAGGTGCAGTTTCCAACATAATGCTTAGATACATGTAAAGTTTTAGTAGCCAAACAACAGTGTTCAGTGTTCATGCTATCTGAAGCATCCAGGATATCTAAGCAAAATTCCAGTTCTGCCCTGTCCAGCCTAGCATGTTCTCTGTAATGTGTTGAGTGATGTGCCAATGCAAGCTTCGAGTTTTTGCTAGTCCCACACTGGGGTCTTGTAGACCACATCCTTCACAAAGCTCTAAAGAAAAACTAGTGGGATTATGTCTGGACACTTGGGAGGGGGGCAGGCAGTGGCCAATACAGCAATGCTGAAATATGTCATCCTAACACTCTCCTGACGAGCCCTTCAAAGTTTTCCTAATGATCGCAGCCCAGAGAGGAGGGGCACTCTGTTGCTGAGGGTGTCAGGTTGCAGTTGTTTGGCCTGTGGAAATGCAAACTGTTCTAACATATCCAGAGAAACAGTCACAGTGATTGACGCCTTTGCAAAGAAAAATGGTCCTACCACATTTTCATAAAGCAAACAACACCACACATTTACTTTTGAACTCTTGTGCCCTATTTCCCAACTTATATTGGTGCTCTCTTAGCCCCATATCCACACATAATGTCAGTTTACCATCCTGGCATATGAAAACCCGCTTCACTCGAAAATACACTTTTGTCAGGAAATCTGGGTCCTCTTTGATGACTCAAATGTTAGAATCACTTGTTAACAGGCTCCCGGGTAAAAACAACATCTTGTGTTGAACTCGTACAAAAATGGCATGTCTTTTCTATCATAACTTAAAGAAGTCCATAGACGAGATGAAATCTCGTGCAAAAGCATTGTATGTGTCTTGATATAAAGGCATTAGCTACTTCTCCTAAGAACCATGGTATAAATGCGGAATAGCTACTGTTTCTCTAACATGCAATTAGGCACATTTTTGCTGTGTGCTAGCGTCAGAATGGAGAGAGCTTGAATGAATGGAAAGGTGTTGACTCTGGATGTACTTGGGTGCAGGGGGAGGAGCTACTGGTCGTCTTGTCCAATCGTGAACATGTAAAGGAACTGCATCTACTTGCAAATCAAGCATTGGTCGGGGAGCAGGGTTATAGCAAAATAACTTTTTCTAAAAGTTATTTTGCTAGAGTTATAAATTGATACGAGTCTATTTTGAAGTAAAAGGGTCATGGAATGCAATAATAGTTGGCCTAAACGTCTATTGAGTTAAGATAAAATATAAAAAAGTCGGGAAAAGTTACAAAATAGCTGAGAATTAGCAAAAATTAGCAAAACACAAATTTTAACTGAAAGTGAATGACAGAAGTTGCTACCAGATGGTGACACATTTGCTTCACAGTCAAGTAGTAGTTACAGTTATAAGCCAGAGATGACGACTCAATTGCGATGCTGGGAATGAATTAATTGCATTTTTCAATCCTAAATGGCAACACATATGTCATGAATTAAACCTATGTTTGAGTTGGTAAAATGAAACCAATTTTTGGTTGGCAAGAGATTTTAGGTAGAATTACATGACGAACATATAATAAGCAATTTAAGTATTTAAATGCAAAAGAACCGCTTTCGATCGTTTTCTGTTTTCTCTGTTATGGAAGTTAAAATCCAGCTGAGGGATGGTGCTGTTGTTCACTTTGTGAATATTTCTAAAGAATTTTCTAGAATTCAATATTTTTGCAAAACATACAGTAATTTTATGAATGCCAAGTTCACGATGAATTGTATGATTCCTAATAAACCAGGGGGTCCTCTTTGATACAATTCAGAATCTCAATTGCAAATGCTTTGCACTATGGCTTGTTAACAGGTTGAAGTGCGTGCAGCAATTGCAGTTTGTAGGTACGAAACTTCAGTTGCTTGTGTATGCACCTTGTGCACTGCGATTGTTGGTAGCTGCAACTGTCAAGATTCTTGATGGCTTCGGCTCTGGATTAATGTCTTTTGCACCCCTTCCACATTTGCTTCACTCATGCTTGGATGTTCAGAATTCGTCATCTTCATGACTTCAGTTTCCTCAAGCCTCGTGTATCACTGCTGAATGGTTAGACATGATGGAGATGTGCGTCTGTAACGAGTCCAAATTTACGTTGAACCTAGGTGGCAGATTTGGTCTCTATATACCATTTCACACACTATATCATTTCTTGGGAGAGTGGCCCTTTTCATCAATGCCTCACCTACAGAGACAAAAACAAAAGAAATTAGATAGGAGAGAGAGAGATTTATTGGAAGTGTTAATATAGAAATAAACTTCAGGTATGTGTGAACATTATGCCGCAAACCACATCTCTTTTTCTATCCTCTTTTCTGACTTATACACAATCAAAGTTGGAAAGATAATTTTTGAATACCCAGTACTGAAAATTGCCCCATAGTCTTTGTGTAGCATGTTATGTTACATCATAAAGTAATTTATTGGATTTACAAATTGATGAGCTTGTTTTCTGTTATTTCTTTATTTGAGAGTTTTGTTGTGAGTTGTAATTGATTATTTATTTAAAAAATCGTTGCATTATTTTAAATTAAAAAAAAGTTCTCATTTTTCATGTTACAAACCTTAGCGCTGTGTTTTTTCTAAATTTAAATCCTAATCAGTATTTTCTATAGAAAGGTAACTTCCAGAAAACTGAGTATTCAGTGAAGTAACAGCAGCACTTGCAATGATTTGCTTGTGGGAAAGATGATTTGAGTTATATGCCATCATGACCTATTAGTAGCTTAATTATTTAGACCGTAAAATTTTAGTTATTTCATCCTTGATTT